TGTATAATAAAAGCAAATTACATATAGTTATCAGTAAGTTTACCGAACAATTTATACGATAAGGACAAGACGATTAACATATCTTTACTAAAGTAAATGTATGTATGCACATATTTTTTACTAACAGTATTAACGTGTTTATTTTCATTTTTTACTCTTTAAAATCTTAAAATTACAACTGTATATACTTACCAAATTATTTTACAGTAAATTAATTTATGCTTTATCGCGACATATCGACGAAGACCGATTTATCACGCAAATTATACCTCAGATTACACGCGTTCGTTTCTTCCAGCTATTTCCAATTCTATCCACTTGAATAATATAAATGAAAAGATAGAGAAGGAAGTTGTATTAAGATACAGATCTATATATTTCTCTGATCTCTATCGTAGTAAAACAGACATGTGATCATAATTTTTGGGAAAAAAGGAGATTTAGGAGAAGTGAGAAAGTTAGAAACCTCCAGATTACGTGTACGATCCATTTACTTGGCAGAATTTTTGAAATGAGAAAGGAGTTGCAAAAAACTTCTAGACTACGAATACTATATTTATGAAGTGTACAATTCGTTTGTTCGCTGTCAGAACTTTCGAAAAAAGACGGGGAGTTACGAGAAACCTACAAGCCACAATCTTCAATTTACTCTTTGTCAATATTTTTAAGAAGAAAAGAGAATTGCAAGAAATTTCCAGACCACGTGAATGATCTATTTACTTTGTTAAAATTTTGGGAAAAAGTTGAAGTTGTAAGGAACTTCCAGATTATGTCTACGATTTATTTACTCAATGGAATTTTTGAAAAGAAGGGGAATTGCGAGAGCTTGCAGACCACGTGTATAACCTGCTTCTAACAGCACGTGTCTACACTCTACGTTTATCGCACTTTTACTTTTTTCTCTTTTCTCCTTGCCGTTCTCTCTCGGAATTGCGATAATCGTGTTGCTCAATTTCATGACAGGAAGGCGGATGATGCAAGCATTCGTACGTTTTCTTTCACAAGCAAAATTGTATCTTTACGAGCGGAAGAAAGTCAAAGAGTAAAAACACAAATAATATAAGACACAAAACTAGAGATGTAAACGACAGAAAAATTCTTAAATTTATTATATTATAGAAGTTATTTACGATAAAAAAACTAGTTTTTTACTTAGTTTTTGATTTTCTCTCATGTAAAAAATACCGTTTTTTTCTTTACATCTTTACGCAAAACGACCGGCGCAATTCGGGAAGAAAATTCTGGAAAAAATGAATGAAGTCGAGAATGTTGAAGGAAAAAATCAAACACGTGTTCACACAACTGTAATAAAAAAAAAAACGGCCGCTCTGAGTCGTTAACAAGAAACGAGAGTGCTAACGATATTGCTAACAAACCTTTAACGCCTATTAACGTCCTAACAATTCGCGGAAAATACGATGATTCACATCACAATCTGTACCGTGAAGAGAAAACACGCGGGAGAAAACGACCGGATATGTATCTCTTAACCTACGAATTCACCCACGCCTCCCCTTCGCATCTCTCTAAAAAATGACGGGGGATGAGGGGTTAGGATTTCGTCACGAGGCGCGCGAGATCGAGACCGAGCCAACCGGGTGAATCCCTTATCACGAATGTTTCTCTCCTTTTTTTTTCGTCCCCTCTCGATAAGACTACATAAAATAGGTAGAGAGAGAAGGGGAAGGCGCGAGATCGCGAAGTCAGGTGACTATTTTCGGTCCGTGGCGAATTTTTACGTAACCAAGCATAATTCCATCGAACGACGCGATCGATCGGTTGACCGACCGACGACAATCGCCGACGACGTCGACGTCACCAGTCGACAAGAGACGCGACGCGATCTCGACAACGTCGTCCGTCGGCTGGAAAGCTCACCTACCTGATGTTAACGCGACGAGGGTCAAATACCGTCCACCATTTGCAACTCGATACTACTCACTTCTTGCTTGCACTCACTCTGCCACCGCCACTGTACGCTTTCCTAAAATACAGTCGCGAAAAGAACGCGAGCGCGATCTAGCGACGAAAAGTTCCCTCGCGGTCACGTGACAGAAGCGCGCGAATTGCTCGAGAAATCTCAAAATTTAAAATTCAACCTCGAGAAATACCTCATACGTGAGTTTGATCAAATTTCATTTTTTTTTTTATTAATTTGTTTAATATTTATTATTTATGACGTAGGTAGAGTTATTAATTTTTTGCTGTTTATTATATGGGACAAAAATAGAATTTTGTTCCCTAAATGATTCTACTATTCAAATTAATTAGAATTTGGTCAAAGTCGCCATTTACTTCACTCTATAATTGCTTTAGTTTCATTAAATCATAAATTAATAATAATAATAATGAGAAAGTCTGAATTCGTGATTCGAGAATAAATGTCACGAAATGGCAAATTAAATTTTGAGATAAATTTGATTTTGTAACTATTTGTGACGATTTCACTTCACTTTTTTAATAATATTTCAAAGAACACATATACGGATTCTAATTTTGGTTGTCGTCAATACATCAAAACTTCCACACTTTCGTTGTCAATCCATGTCAAACTGTGTAAAAGTTGAATTTGCCCCTTTATGAATCTTTCAAAACAAAGAAGAATACGTACGACAAAAGAACGATGTGAGAACGTCCAACGTGTTGTGTAACTGTAACCTACGTATTATTTTTTTTAATTTTGTACGTATATTTTATATGTATTTATTGCGAGACGTAAATCATCATTTTTGAAACGACAAAAACAGTGTAATTTATGTAAATTTTGAATAATGCATGTAAAATTTGATTGTACATTAAATTGCGTGAGCGAAAAATTATGAAAGTTAAGAAAAATTTGGTGTAACCAACATGAATGTTTATGACGATATAAGTGAAACTTTTGATAATGAATTAATAAATGAATAATAAAATCGTGATAGAGATAAACATCTTAAAAAAAAATCTATAGTGGAATCCCATACTTAACATTGATTTGTTTAATTTCTATATATTATATATATTTCTATATATTGTCATATTTTTGCTTTCAGAATTACCTGTGAAAAATCAATTCGAAATGCAATCATGCAAAATAGATGAATCAGAAAGCAGACCAAACATCGCATTAAAAAGTATTATCATTTATAAAAATCAATTTTTTCTTAAATTGACATTATATTATATTAATTTTTATCTATTAATGTCATGCTGAGATTAGTTCCAAATCCTCGATAATTCCATCAAATTTTAGATGTTCCGAAAGCAGTTTATATAAAAAATATATACAATTGTTAAAGGATTCTCAAAATTGCAAGTTGAAATTTTACAAATTAAAAGCTTATGAGAGTGCAGTACGGTAATTGTTGTGCATAAATTTCAATTTGTTATATATTATATATAATTATACATTGATTATATTACAAGCTTAATCCGGTGAATAACAAGATAAAATTTATGAGCAACGATTATATCGCGCTGCAATTTCATAGCCTTTCAATTTGTAATATTTTAATATGAAAAATAATTTAAACAATGCCAGATACTATTAACTTCATTTAGGAATCGGACTGGAATTGGATAAAGCAGAGACCAAATGCTTCACGTTAAAATCAGAGTTAAATTACATGATGGATGTTTGTCGAAAAGCTCAAACGGAAATAAAAGGAAATAAAGAAGCTTCTAACATTTCATCGATAATGTCATTTAAAAATTCAGATTCAAAGTCTACATTCGAACGTAATGATTATAACAGCGAAATTATGGATGTCAATAGAACTACAAATTGTAACATCTTTCAGAGAATTCATAATATGGAATTGAAAGCTGAAGAAAATTTGGGTAAAAAATTTTTCCGGAATTAAAATCAGTCTGTATATTTGAACATCTATGTTTTCGTAGATACATTCAATTTGAGTCCAAAATCTGCACAGTTTTCATCTAGAAAAAGCATAAACGATGATGATACTATCGAGAGATCTGAGAATTTGATGAAGAAAAGTCAAAAAGGATTATTGAACGTTACAATTACACCGAAAACTAAATTAAATAAGAAACTTCCTCATTTGATAATGCCAACTCAGAACATGGAAGAAGATGTACGAGACTATGTTTTATAAATATATGTGTATTTTAAGTATATATATTTTTATACTTACGTGCTCGATGATACAAATAGGCGAGTAAAGAACATGAAAGCTATTACTTTCCGTCGAAAATGTCCCTCGAGCAAATGACATTGCAAACTGACGACGAGAGTTATATTCACGGAACGCCGAGGCCAAGTGTCAAAGATGTTGAAAGTGTTAAAGATCCGAAATTGAATTTGAATATGCTGAATACCACAAAAGCCAGACGATTGGTGAAAAGTAGATCGAAAACGGGGAGAAGCGAAATAAACTCCGTGTGCAGGACGGATAACATGATGCCTAAAGCGCGGAAGAGAAAGACGAAGTTACGGAGTTCCATTTCCAAGAGCACAGTTACTACCACGGGTTTTATTGGTAGAAAAGAGATGAAGAAGCGCCGGCATAAAGGTGAAAAGTCTCACATAGCACATTTTTCCAAGGAATGTCCTGGAAACGCCCTTAGACTGTAGGACGGCCTTTGGAGATCTGGGTATCGATCGTGTAATTTTTTCTCTAAAGCGGAAATGTGAAAAGTGGAAATTTTTATATATGTATATAAAACACAGATACATACAAAAAATTTTCACTTTCCACGTTTCTGCTCTTGGGAAAAAACTACATGATTAAGCCTCTGCGCTTCTTGGAGTCGAGTTTATGTATAATCTGTCTACATATATGTTTACAATTATATTATACTATTATCAGAGATAAATCTCTGTTACTTGTGATAATTTTTAATGCAGGTCTTGTCATTAATTGTCAACCTCTCGTCAATCACTCATCAAATACAAATCAACCACCATCTAATCCGCCAAAGCATGTGAAGAAGTCCAATGATGTCGTGGAAATTTTTCATAATACTAAATTAAAGAATAACAATTTCGAGGAGTCCATTATACATTCTAAAGACGATGAAGCTAAGTATGAAAAAAAACCGCATCTTCCTGAAGCCAAGAAAAATCCAAAGAGAATTCAAGAAACAGTGTTGAGTTCAAAAGATGGACGTTCTGAAAATGTTAATCAGAAATGTGAATTCCATGATAAGAAAAATGAACCGGATCCTCAGATGTTAAATCATCAAAACAATACATTGTCAGAGTAATTGCATAATAGTACTTATAGTTACTGTAATCGTTATGTTATCGTAATTATTCTAGTGATGGTCAACATAATTATTTATATTTCTATTACCATTATTATTATTACTCTCAAAGTTCTATCATCATTATTTATTAAATTTTACTTATTAAATTTTGAAAAAATTTTTCTCTTATAGAGCGAAGCCCCAGATTACACAAGAACAAGATAAATCAGAAAATCCGATTCATTCCACACACAACGATCTTGGTCCATCGGTACAGGATGAAACGCAACAATGCAAACGAGCTTTCAACAGATACGACGATCCATTGTTCACGCCCAACTACGAGATGCCGACTTTGGCGTCGAAGTTAAAACGCTCGAGCAGATCGTACTTCAGCGGGTTTAATTTCCGAAATATTCCGTTTGTGGTGGGAACTTCGGTGACCCCAAGTTACAATCTCGGATTGAATATTCAACAAGTGAGCTGGCGAAACTCAGTGAAAAGCAGCGGATTATCTAAAAAAATATCCTCCTGAAACGTAGGTGTTGAGCGTGATGAAGACGAGACAGCCGCCGGCGAGCGATATCACCCCGTTATTAATCCGCAAAGTCAGCAGAGGCATGAGGCCGATGTCGGTTCTTCTGGGCCAGATGAACGGTCACTACGAGGGATCCGTCCCCAACATGAGCTCACAAATGACTGGAATGTTTAAATTTAACAGCAGGGAGAACCTCGGTCGAGATAAAAGATTGTCCATGTTTAATTTACACGTGGGAAAGACGCAAAGTGGTCGTATGCCAAAGACGAATGCAGAAATTATATTTGAAAAAGAGAATAATGTTTCTAAACAGCTTTGTAAAGAGAAAGTTGAATCTTCCAATCATAAGACTAAACAGCAATCTTCTTCCGCTGTGAGCAAAAGCGACACTCCGACGAATCCTAAAATTCAACAAGGAACTTCGAGGATATCGTTAAAAGTAAATCGCACTCAGTTCGTTTCAAAGCATATTATGACATGTTGATGTTGTAGGGTAATATTGGCGATCATAAAATGCATATTCCTGATTCGCACAATTCTAAGGAGATACGCGACGTTCTGATCAATCTTCACGATCAATTTGAAGAGATGAACAAGTGAGTGTGTTGGGTCTATTAAAGGATCCCCTATATTGATGTGACTTGGATGAGAATCTGAACATAGCTTTATAGTAAAAACTCATTTCATCAAGGCACAATTTCTTATAGGAGTCCTTTAAAAATAATTTTGATAGACATATTAGACTTATATTTTTTATAGAAAATATGAGAAATTACAATCAGAAGTGGACAAGTCCAACGATAAATCTTTAGCGAAGGAATTGTCCACTCTGGAGAAGGAACTCAGTGTCAAGGAAGAAGAAATCAACACTGTTGTCGGTCTCTACAAAGAGGTAAGAACTATTATTGAATATTCATGTATTCGGTAATCACGCATACATTGTTTTCAATGACAATGCAAAAACAGGTAATGACGCTGAAACAGCAAATGAAGGCATTGAACGAAAGAAATAGTCTGGTTTGTATCGCGACCGAGTTGACCAAGAGAACCAACAAGGATTCTTTTCCCATATCTGTTATACCTGAAAAATCGCAGATTTTTGGTCGAAGACAAATTTTCAATGCGACACGAGAACCGCCCGTTTCTATGCAGTTGGCTGCGTTATTACGGCAGATTCAAACTTTTCATAAAAAATTGCAGCTTATGTCGTAACGTCACATCGAGTCACGATAAAAGAGCAAGAAAATGGAATAAAATTGGAGTTATTTTATCAAATTGCCTACACATTGATATAGCGGAATTTTAGTATGTCCTATTCGCAGGATAGAGGACATTAATTTTTTTCTTCTATGATACGAAAAACATATTTAAAGGCGCGTTCGAATTTCCCAAATGAATTTCTCATGTATTATTTTATTTTTGTTTAACATTTAAGGTGAGTTCCGTTTTGCGCTCACAGCGCTTGTAAGCACTATTTGTCACTCTTAGTGAACAATAAGGATGAAATGATATACAGGGAAACTCTCGAATGGGGAATCCGAACATAGAACGTTGGGAGGTATTTCTACTTTTTTCTTCTTCAGGGCGATAAAAAAGAACGAACATTTTTCAGCAGATCATATTCCATTTTATTCAATTCTGTCTACTACCCCATAATAATGTGTATTATTCGTTCGTATGCGTGTATGGTTGTATGGTCATAATTCATGTATACGCAACTTTCTGCCTTGTGTATATGTGTATATGTTTGTTTATGTGTATACCTCTATACATATAATATATTTATATATATGTATATACAGAATCAACATGAGTGTAAAACGCCGAAGGTGATTTTCTTAGGACTCCTGTTAGAGACGGATTCATCGTCGTCGCGGCTTCCACGGTCGATTGTTAATTTTGTCAGTTGCAGTTACGTACGACGATATCCAAGAGAAATTGAATGTTACGCTATTGATTTCGTTTTTTACGCTTTTTTCGTTTCTTTCTGTCGTAAGATTCTAATCTCTCTAGATATGTTCGTAGATCATGTGATCTACATGGCGTATCTAGCGTTTTTCTTTTTTAGTACTAATTAAACGATTCATAAGCTATCCTGTCTCTTAGCTTCACTAAATAAAGTGATTTTTGCTTCCCTCTGTATTCTGGCTTCTTTTCAAAAGTATTCCTGCTTATCTCTCTCTCTCTCCCTTCCTTTCAAAGCGTCTACACAGAATCACGCGATCTATTCTTATGCGTTAAAGATACTATCCGCTACAAAATGTATCTTAGTTAACATTAATATAAAATGTTATCTTAGATCTATATATATATATATATATATATATATATATATATATACATACACACGATAATACTAATTTGCTCTCTCTCTTTCTTACTAGTGGAGGGGCGCTTAGGTGCACCCGCGAGAAATAAAAACATTCCTGTGGATATCAAATACAAAATTAATTTTCTCTCGTGAACAGCGCAGTCCTTTTGGCAGTACGGATGGAGGACAACAGTTCTGTGACGAACGCGGAAATAATCTCGTCACGGCAATAAAGTGCTCTTACTGTCGCACATTTTTGTTGCTACATATCAAATGATGGAGTAATTATAAAATGGCAACAGATAAGACTTAATTTCAAGGATTGTCCGATCAACAAAGTGATATATCCTTGTTGGATTTCTTATGTCAATATTGATATTCGAATAATATTTATTTTCATATTCACAATTATTGATGCGTCTATAAAAAATCCATTTTCTTACTTCTCCTTGTATTCTCTAAGATTACTCTGTCTCCAACCGTTCTTTCGAAAAAGGACTCTGCTTTATGCTGTCGTCATCGCTATAAGATCTCCTGAAGATATCGCCGACTTCAATCATCTCTTGCAAAGAAAACAGCGGAAAAATCATCTCCCTTTATTCCGATCTTCTACAAAATTGTTTTCACAAAAGGAAGAAGAAAATAGAAACGGAACCAAATACTCCACACACACATTCTCCCATCTTAACGCAAATATATCTCTCATTATATCACAGACTAAAAAATGCTTTGGTCTAAAGAATTCTCTTGTTCTTTTTTTGTTTTTTTTTCACTCACTTTTGTTAATTAGAACGAACACGCATTTACGTGTTCGCGACTGGCTTCGCTGCCGCGCGTCGGTGTATAATTATTTTAAAAAATGTTAATTGCAGGAATACGAAATCAGCGAATCATTCATTAATTTTCGTTTCCTGTTTCATATCGAAAAGGTTAAAACCACCGCGGCCTTTGTGTCTCAATTACATATCAGAACTTTCGAATCTGAAAACAGATGGCTGATTTCATCATTGTGTCGTGGTAAAATGAGAAAAAACACCTTCGGCGCAGTTGCAACTTATCGTCAGTGAAATTCGCAAAGCATTTCTTTCATATTAGTCGGCATACAGTAGAACTCAAGCCATTAGCACCCTTGATTCTCGAGATTCTATGTGAAAAAATCGATCCAAGTGGAATTTTAAGGCGTTTTTACGTAGTCCCTAGTCGGTTGTGTGTGTATACATTGCGAACGGCCTTAAAATCGTACTTGTACAAAAATATAAACGCAAAAATCAACGAGCTTCTCTTAGTGAATATTCTTTTTTTTCTTTCTCTTTTAATACGTTATTAAGATCGTAACATTTTATAGTACTCTACAATATTACAACATGTGATATCTCTTACAAGGTACTTATATATTACGAGTATAACCCCACAGATTCGTTCTTTACTCTTTCAGCATTAGACTTCTGCGATTTATTTAAGATGATAAAATAAATATCGGGTCCATTATAAAAACGTTAATCATTATATGGATACCCGCTCTCTCCTATCTTTTCCTTTTCAAGTCTTATCGATCTTACGATAATCGTCAAGTTTATCGTCAGTGAGAAAAATTCAACTCTTTACGAGCAATAAAACTAAATTAAACACGTTTCTCACAATTGTATGATATACATCGTTATATTTGTTGAAAAAATCTTGATTTGTTTTAACGATTCAAAATGACAAGTTGGACTTCGTTCGTTCGATATCTGTTCTTGCGTTAACCGTTATAAAACATGATACTTCAAGTACAAACAAGTTTAGAAATCTTTGCAACAAATAT